ACCCCACACATTTTTACACTAATCAACTATGATCAGCTTTGCAAAGATTCCAGGAGAACCCATAGCTTGCCAGAGCTTGTGTTGGTCTTTCATTGCCTTAACCAAGGAAAGTATTATTTCATGCAGGGCTAAAGGGGACAGCAAGTTCCACCTTGTTTACAAACCAACCAACCAAACTTGAATGATAGATTTGCTTGTCCAGTGTAGCATCACTGGGTTGTGCTTACTTGCACAACTAGAGGATCAAGGCAATTATTGCTTTTAAAGGAAGCAGGCTGGCCTCTCTTCAGTTTTGCTAGGAAGCATTCCACTCCAATTTAGTGACTTTCTTGATAACCACTGTATTTGGAACAATTCTTGGAGTTGGCTGTAGGTCTGGGGCAGCAGGAGGGGTCTGCAGAGCATCTGCTGTCCGCTAACTTTGAAGACAAACCTAGAGGGGCTAGGGCACAGCATAACAATGGCATGTAGTGGGCATCTTGAAGCATCTTGTTCGATGGAGGTTCTTCAATTACAGACCCTTCACTATGGAGAAGGTTCCAACATTCCCTGGAGTGGGGAATGCCACTTCACAAAAATAAAATATTCTAGATAATCTGCAAGCCCTGGAGACCTAGGCAAGCCATTTATATACCCCTCTTAGAAGCCATTCTGTAGAGAGGAGGGAAAGGACTGGCTGTGAAGGGTCAGTAATTGAACTGTAGAGATCAGAGAAGAAGAAAATTGCTAAGCCAAGATGGAGTAAGAGGAGCCAAAGGAGAATGTAAGTGCTTTGTCCAAGAAGGAGCAAAAAACTGAAGAGCAGCCAGCCTATTTCCTGTAAAAGCTACTCTTGCCTTTGTCCACTAGAAGTGCAAGTAAGCCCAACTCAGTGATGCTACACTGACATGTGAAATCTAGGGTGTCTAGCCCTTTGAAAATTAAGTAACAACCCAAGCAGTTCTGGTGTCCTGGCGCCAAGGATGACCTCCAGATTCACAATAGACCCCAGTAGGAAGAGCACCCCTTCTACCTTCTTCGCACTGAGTAGGTAATATTTGTGCTCCAATTTCCTCCCTACGACTCTAATTCTGCTTCCTTTCTTGTCTCTCTAACTCTCCAAGCAACCCATGCTGCTTCAGGCAAAGTGTTAATTACATTTTTTACTCCTTTGTCTAACCCAATTCACCTTCTATGTTTCTATAAATAAATACTGCTTAACATTTTATTGGATTTTTATTGTATTTCAGTATTACTTATTTACTTTTTCCATGTGCTTTTTATGAGTGTTACTTGTGTGAAATGCTTAGAGATTTTGCTATATTAAGTGATACATGTTATAAAAATAAACAAAAATAAATATATCTATTTCCTCTGCATCTCATTTTCATTCTCCAACTTTCCCCAGTCAGTTCCATGATGCTTTAACCCGTCAGCCTTTCCCATCTCCCATGTCCCCTATAGATTTAACCAAACAGTTGCCAATCCAAGCTAAATGCTATGTACCCAGTCTGTCAATTTTCATAAGAAAAAACAGAACTCCCCCCCCCACGCACCCTCTAGATCTCTCCAACCCTCTGAAGCAGATTCCATGAGTTTCACTGTGCAAGTGAAAATTATTATGTTGATGGAACACATTAATTGGACACGGCTCAGTTGCTCTAAACTCTGGCTTGTTGCCTCATTGCTAATTCCCTCTCTAAGAAAACCCAGTTGTTGTGATGGTGCACCATGACCCTTGTTCAGAGGGTCTGAGCTCATGTACATGTGCAGTATAGTGCTTAACACATGTAGACAAGGACACAAGGTTACAAGTGCTAATGTGTCATCCACCCTGCTATCTAACTGCTGGAGTTTACATAGGTGGACTTGGACTTGGTGCGGGAATGTTGTTTCAAAAAGGAAGGTATTGTCCAACTCAAACCAGAATATAACAAAGGCCTTCTGGCCATAGTGACTGGCCATAGAAGAGGTGATGGTACAATTCCTAAAGAACCTGGTTTGAATATAGTATATCTGAACAATGATTAACTAGCTATTGTTAATTAACAATTATTAACCTCTGCCTTCTGGATAAGGTGCTTAAGTAGGCATTTGCTATAGCCTATTTGAGATGTACCTCAAATATCAGCTAAAAAGCATCAGAACTGAAAATGATCAGAACACACAGAATACCAAAATTATTATTACGATATATATTTATTTATTTTTACCTTGCCTTTTTACCTGACAGCACTCAAGGTGGCTTACATATAAAAATAAAAAGGTAAAAGTAAGGGACCCCTGACAGTTAAGTCCAGTCGCAGACATATAAAAATAAGAACTACTAAAACCTTTAAAAATCCATCATAAAATAGAATTATATATTGATAGAATTAAAACTATATGCATATATAGATATACATCTATCCATACATAATCTGTTTAAAACATACCAATAATTATAACAAAAACAACATGGCACCAGCTCCTTAACATCAAACATAAAGACTGAAGAAATATACAGCTAAGTAACAATAAAGCTAATGATGTTCTCTTTTACATTAAGACCACAATTTACATGCGAGTTATGTTCCAGGGATCACACCTAAAGCCAAAATCACATACAATCAAAGCACAATGGGTTCAATGGCGGATTTTTCCTGGAACCCCATTCCATTTCTATTTAAAAAACGATAAACCTGCCACATGCCTAAGGCTGAATGCGCACAAGTTAAATGTGCGTGAGCTATGGGCTTACTGTATTTAGGAATTTGTGTCCAGTAAGTATCATCTTAATTTTGGACCTACTTGAGAACTGATAAATTACTTTATACCTGGAACAGGACCTTCCATGCCACTTTAAGAGCATATCAAATGAGGTACCACATCATGCAAGAAAAGTTTGACCTCTAAGGGTCTCTAGCATGTGCAATCTTAGGACTCAGCTATACAGCTGCAATTAAAACGTTTTAAATGTGTTGTGAAGTACAATATACAAATGTGACACAAGACAGCGACAGTGAGCTATGCCAAATTCAATGTACTGTATTTTTCCATGTATAAGACTATATTTTTTTCTAAATTTTTGAAGTTTAAAGTAAGGGGTCATCTTATACACGGATAGTGCACAGTGCATTTTCTTAATTTTGAGTCCCCAAAAAAGGGGGCGTCTTATACATGGAAAAATAAGGTATTTTTCAAAACTTTTATAATAAAAAAAACATTTTCACAGTGTTTTTTATATGTGTGTAGCTTCTACCTTAGTCTGCAATCTTACCTGAGAACAAGTCTCATTGGACATACCGAAACCTACTTCTGCATAAGTATGCAGAGGATTGTATAGTTAATATATCAGGTTACAATTGTGTAATAGCCACAGGCAGGTACTAGTGTAAATGGTTGATAGTAGTTGAAATGCCTTTGGGACAGTACCCACATCAGTCATCCACAGCCACCCTTCTCCATACCCAAGCCATCTCCCACTCTTCAACTATGAAACAGTTTTGTTATTTGACCATTTGAATGTTGTTGGACTATTTTTATAGCCAAACGTTTCATTGCTATGTGCAAGGTCACAGGTAACAGCACTTACCATTAATGCTGGCACAGTGGTAACTAAGCTCCCTTCTTTCTTGGCACACAATTCATAGGGGCCTTTAACTTTACATACTAGCATTAGCAGAATTTATGTATCCTTTTTATAGCCTATTTCAAAAATGCTGGTCGTGATGTCAGTATTCACATTTCTGACCCCTGACAAGTATGAATTAGACAGATGCCACCAACTCCTGTCATAGGCCACCTATGTGTCCAGATAACACTAATAATGAAATCCCATCAAGGGCTTTCCAATTGCTTCACGTCAATTTTGTCCCACAAGTTCACTTTAATTTTTTTTTAAAAAAATGTCGTTTATGCATTAATGGATTCAGGAAAATAGCTGATCTACAAAGTTGCATTTGGTTTTATTTTTAAGACTGCAGTGTGTGAAAATGATGTTCAGACTTAGTGAAGAAAGAATTGACCAGGTTTCTAAAAATATTGTAGAAAGCCATTAAGCCAAAAAAAGGAAACATAATTGTTGACTTTTAAATATGCAGGCAAAAAAAAAAATCATAGTAAATAACAATAATTTACTTGGAATATTGCTTCATACAGTGTTTCACAGAAACCTAGCATACAATTTTAAAGAAAGTGCTGGCAAATTAATTGTATACTTATGCTTTTTATGTTCAAGTCACATATGAAAAGAATAACATTTTACCCCACATTGAGTACAGTACCGTAGACTGAATATGGGTTTCAGCAGCATCAATCGTATCAACTGAGATTAGATGAAAGTGCATATAGGATAAAAGAGGCATATAACTCTTACATTTTTACCTTGTGGCTAACATGGCAATTTGCCTCCAGCAGCTGGGTGCATCTCAGAGAAATTCACGTCAGTATTCTATTGCGAATATGGGTGGACAAATAATCATTTTCCGAATGCACTAATGCTTTTGCATTCTGATGATGGCATGGAGCTCTTGCATGCAGGTGCAGACCTTATTTATTTGGGGATTTTGTATTTGTTTTGTTAGGGGCTAATGTGCAAATGGCAAGGACTGTGTAGCTGACTACATAAAACTCTATTTGTGAACATGGTAACCTATTTCCAATGGGCAACATTATTTAATATCAACCATTGAGAGCTGTTGTCCCTCTTATAAAGTTCAGGAACCATGCTGCATGTATGCACTGAGAAACAGCTGCTACACTGGATACTTGGATATAGGTTGTCTGAAGGGCTTGACATGCAACGGAGTGTGAAAATATGAGCTTTGTAAAAGATGGAAAAACATGCTCCATTGCAAACTGAACCCCTTCAGATAGCCTAACTCAACGGGGTTCCTCTCAGTGACAATGAAAATAAACACTTATCTGAATCTGCCCTGAGGTGTGCCACATGCATGACACAAGCCAGCAATTTTAGCCGTGTTCTAATCACAATCATATCTGATACCATTTAAAAGCAACATTTAACAAAAAGAACAAACCTGGCTGTCCTCACTTTTCAGTCACTGATTGTCACTGTGCCATGTTTCAGGAGGTGTTAGCTGTCAGAAAGAAAGAAAGAAAGAAAGAAAGAAAGAAAGAAAGAAAGAAAGATCAGTTCAAATTCCAAATCTGTCCTTCGGAATGTTTCCTTTAACATGCATATTGAATTGATTAAATTTCATTTCTGCTCTTTGGAGTGTGAGGGTTTTCTTCCAGTCTTTTTCCTTCTCCCTTCTCAAACAAAGCTACTTCCAATGTTCTGAGGGCTGGAAATTAATAGCCCTTCTAACTTGGATCTCTCCTGGTAGCCACCACCCCTGGCAAATCGCTATTTGTAGTTTCACCAAAAACAAATCATGCGTCTAATACAGCATTTAAGAGACTGAAATAAATCCATCCCTTGCTACCCTATCATCTTAAATGTTACTATGAAATTTGAACACATATGGCCAAAACCAAAAGAGCCAGATACATTATATAATTATCTTTTCTATTTTTACCTCCTAAAAATGAGATTATTCTGTTTCTTAAGGCTCGGGGAACCTTTTACAGTTGCTACATCCCACAACTTAAGGATAGGGCTAAATAAGAACATAATATTTTAAATACTTTTTCTATTACATTTTTAAGAACCAGTGCATGGCTAAATCACAGAAGAGGACCCTAACCTGGCAGAATCTTTAACATAATACCTTCTTGGTAATGTCATGTCATAAACAGCTTTTTTTTAAAAAAAAGGAAAAGGACTACACGTGAACATTTTCCATTATCTTTGGTGCACTTTACTACGGTTTAATGTGCAACGCAAAAAGATCACAGTCATCTAAATGTTGCTACAAGAATTATCTGTCTCACTACAATTCAAATGCTTTGTTATATGCTTTCTACAGTAGCCTGTGTACATCCCATTCTTCATGTTATCCAGTGATTTAAGGGCCTCTTTTGAGGACCTCAGCTTGATCACTGTCCTTTTCTTCCTGTCAGGAAAGGGAGCAGTCAAGCAGCGATCCTGCTTTCTGCTACTGATTCGCTTCCCTACAACTTGCATTAGACGTTATTAGAGCGGCTCCCAGCAGTGTGTAGTTAAGAGTCTGACAGTGTCCCCATTAGAAAGCCATTTTTCTTATAAAGGGTTTTGTAAATTGGCTATGTTAATGACTACAGAAAGAGGAATTTTTAATTTATTTTTCACCCCTAAAGGAATTATACATTTCTATTCCTTTTTTTTTTTTTGTATCACAGCAACAAACAGCAATAGAAAAAGAGATAGGAAAGAGAGAGAAAAATAACTTAAAATATAATAGCTCAGCTGTTTGGTTTTCTGTCTAAGCTATGGCTTATTTTGCCACATCCAACATAATATTCCTGGCAATTAATTTATAATACAGAATTAAGGAAATAGAAATATAGAAATGAAGCCGGTTCTAAAACATTCAGGGTTTTTTTTAAAAAAAAATCAATGTAAAATATGAAGAGGAATGGCGGGATTTTCAAATGTATCCCAGAAAATGAACCTAATATTTACTCCAAACCAAGTTTTATTTAAATCAACATTATGTACTTATTTTCAAATAAATGTGGTAAATGCACTTATAAGCACAACACCCTGAGCTAAAAACTCTGCTCACACAAAACATTTATAATATCATTACCCACGATTTAGTTCACTTTACCATCACATAACAAAATGTTCACATAAACTGTGTTTAGAGCAGGGGATAATAATCCTCCTAAACAGCTGCCTCTGGCAATAAGTGTTGTGTGAACAAGGGCAAGGTGTCAACCATGGGCTTTATCGTGCTTGAACTACTGTGATTCTCAAACTGTTTTCACCCAGATAACCAAATGCAGTTCTGTCTTATTATTTACATTTTTAAATATAGGAGCCTCTTTTTGGCTGGCAGGAGAATTCTTTAAATAAAGAAATGAATGAGATTATCTAGGAAAGGGATTGTGTGTTGAATCCAGAGGCTGCACAAGAGAAAGGCAATTCTGCTCCCTTCTGCCCTGAAACCTTCTGTACTTCATGGAAACCCTCTCCATAAGGCCAGGGAAGGTCTGAATAGTGGAAGCTGTGTCGTACTCGTCTGCAGTGGAAGAGAGGAAATCACCCAGAATCAAGTAGAGAGATCTCTGGAGATTTTTTTTTGGGGGGGGAGGGTACAAGGAGGAGGAAGGAATGAGAAAGATCGGTTGTGTGAACTGTCGGTTCATGCAACCAGTGGATCAAACCCAATTTGTATTATGGATACGTATTCCTATAAAACTCAAGTAATTTTTGCCCTGTAGTGTAGCCAAAGAAAAAGAGGAGGGAGTGCTGGTTGCTAGAAGAGTCGGTGTTACTACGTTCAGATATGCTTTGGGTCTCTGAAACATTTGCCTGCCAAGACAGTACAGTGGTACCTCTAGTTGTGGACACGATCCATTCCGAGGTGCCGTTCGCACCCCAAAAAGTCTGCAACTAGAGCGGCACTTCTGCGCAAGCGTGGAGCACAATAGAGCGCTTCTGCGCATTTGTGAAACACGCAGAATGCTTCTGCGCATGCGCAAAGCGCGCAGAACGCTTCTGCATGTGTGGCGAAACCTTGAAGTATACACTTCCAGGTTTGCTGCGTTCGCAAGCTGAAAAGACGCAACATGAACCTAACGCAAGACGAGGTATGACTGTAGTAAACTTTGATTCTGTCCGTGTTCATCTCTATTTTTGCCATGTTCCCATGGACCTCCTGAAAGCAAATGGTGTCCCATTAATCATGAACAAACCACAGTTTAAGAACCACTGATCCAGAGCAATACCTTTTCTGGGTATAAGTTTAAAGGTAGAATCAAACATGTGGTGAGTTGTGGTATACTCTTTTGACAGGATTTTATCACCTCAGCATAAACATGGGGTACTATATGTTTGAAAGTGGATCCTGGTCATAATTTCTCTCTCACATGATAGGCTACTAACCTAATCTCCATGATGTGCAGTTTACACATGTAAGGACATTTTAATGTGGGGCTACTTTCAAACAAGTAATGTCCTCATATGTATCCTGAAGTGGTACAGTCACATGTACTTACATGAAACCTCCTCAGAATACTATCTAAGGGCCCTCATATTTGTGCCTGTTCTGAGGGAAAATCTATTCATATGAGCCTGGTCTACATTGCTGAATTTCCCTCTGCCACTGCCTAATATCGAAATAATTCTGAGGGAAATACCTATTTTTCACAGTTCTTAAATGCTTCACACATTTAAAAAAAGACAGCGAGTTTGCTCCATAGAGTAACTGGGAATGACACAAGAGAGTTGGTTTCTTCCAGGGCGTTAGCTTTCCAGTGCAAGGAACGGTGAAATGTTTCTCTCACCAGTGAAAGGCACACAGTGAGACGTTAACATGAGAGAATAAGCAGAATCCTTTTTAAGAAGAATGGTAGTTATACTTTAATTTAAAAATAAGCTGTTAGACATTTATGACAGGAAAATGTCCCACTAGCTAGATTCCAGTTCTGTTTGTATTTAGGGTGTTTACATATTTTGCCCACAGGAAGTCTCTGCCAGCAAGTCTGAACTTTCTAAAACATCCATTCCAATTCAGGCCTCTTTCTGGCCAGCTCCAAAAGAAAAGCAACCCTCAGCATTCCCAGGAGATGGAGATTCCAAGCTTTCCAATAATAAAATGGATCTGTTAGGTGCTAGACACTACAATAATATTTAAATTACACTTTTGCCTTTTGACCCCTTCCATGCACACCTCATTGTCATACACACTGCCAAAAAGGCATCTGCCAATTCTGTTACATATATAAAAAAACCTAAACATTTTCTTTCTTTCTTTTCTTTTTTGTACAAGTTCGGTTTTTCATCAAAACCATATGATCGAACAGTGAAGTATACAAAGTAATGTGTCTGTGTTACCACAATGTCAGCTCAAAGACACTTTGCTCATCATCAGTCTATAAGCCTCTGGGCCATGTCATACAACTTATCAATATTGTACACAAGAAAAGTTTTTTTAAAAAGTCTCAAAGAAAAGATTAAAAGCTTCTAATGATGAGTGATGCAACCTCACAAATATAAAACGGATTCCCCAAACAGGGCTTTTAAAGCTTGGTTGGGATGTGGAAATCAAGAACACTTTCATGATGAGCGAAAGCAACTCTGTGCAATGAAATGGCCATTTAGTTTGCCATCCTCCACACAGAGCAGTTACATAAGTAATAGAATTCTCTCACTGAAAAGGCCTTACAGGTTCAAGGACCTTCACTTGCAGGCAAGTCTAATAGGCAAACCTAAACATTAGGAGTGCTAAACAATAATAACTATTCCTGTCCCTCCTCTTCTCTGACTTTTGCATGCTATGCCTTCTGAAGAAACACAATCTCTCCTCTGATCTTTGCATATGGCTTCATTGCGATCTCAGGTTTGATCAACAGATAAGCACTGCAATATTGCATCTAGAAGCTACAATGGCAAGAAGTTTGAAGTCAATTCAAAACCTAGAAGTGATGCACCATCAAGACATTAACAGTGTAATCCTATACATGTCTACTTAGAACAGGGGTCGGCAAACTAAGGCCCACGGGCAGGATCAAGCGCAATTGTCTTCAGGATCCGGCCCACAGACTATCTGTGGATTGGCATGGGGATTCTGTTCATTTGGGCTGCGCCATTTTTCCCCTGAGCCATTCCATTCCCCCCCCCCTCTCCCTCACACACACTGCGGCGATGCCTCCTCCCTCCCTCCTCCTGGCTTCTCCCCGCCTTGCCTAGAGGAGGAAGGGGGCTAGGCTTAGCTGAGGGCCATTTTAAGCAGTCCCTCTCCGGAGCCAGCCCTTTCATACCGCTCATCTTCCCTCCACTGCTGCCCCCCTGGTGCTCCTGTGGGCCAGAGAGTGGAGCAGATGAGCTCGCTCTGCCTACTCACGAGAAACAGTGGCGGTGGCAGCGGCAGCTGCAGGGAAGGTGAATGCAGCGGCTGGGGCTAGAGTGTGTGGAGGAGGAGGACTTGCCCCCCTCGCCTCTTCTTCCAGCTCCACACCACACTGCCCCCAGTGCTGCTTCTCTGGCCCA